ATACATAATCCACCAAAAATAAACATCATCACAAAATCAGCTGTTCTCCTGCGGAAGGATCCTTCCTCCAACATACGACAATATCGATATGTGAAGATCATATTGAATAATAGATTGAATCCAACATTTCCAAAGAACAGAAATGTTGTTATTAATCGCCATATCTGAAATAATCCAGTATAATACTTTAGAAAATTTGTGATTGTACTGTTGATTTAGTACATGACAAAAAAATCAATTTGATAAAAAGTACAAATCTATTCATAAATTTTCTTCTAATGACAATAATAATCTTTGAATTATCTTATATAATAAAGCCAACTTTACATAGTTATTTGCATATCTATACTTTCGTACCTGGTATTGCTCCACAATAAGAATAGGATTGAAATACAGTTGAAACGGGGATACCAAGTCTAATTGCTGAAACATTTAAAGTAATTATACATTGCTGACAAGCAAATATATTTTATAAACTCAACGAAATCCATTTGTTCATTCGATTAAAATTATTTCCTAATTATCAGGCTTCTCTCTGTATATCATTTTTATACAATCATAGGCAAGCATTAGGATAAGTGCTGAGTCATCAAATGTGCTCAAGTATAAGTACTTGATCTTATATAAACAGATAAAGAGAGAATTTGAAAATGTAAGAGGGATTTGGAATGAAGGAAGATTCGGGTTTGGACCCGCGCAACGGGCGGCCAATGGGCGAAGTTGATCGACAGGATTAAAAAAAAAAACACGAGATAAGTACCACAGCAAGGGTCGTGATGACACAGGCTGTGGTGTAAGCCCGCGTCACAACGGGCATCTGCTTGTACTCGTGCCATAACGCTTCGTAGGCCATTGGCATCGATTGTCGGCGACCTCACGCCGAACGTATTCCTTCGTTCGTACCGAGACCTCGCAGCTGCATACACGCCGCTCCCCAATCCTGCTGCCCGTTTCACCATCGCATGTCGCACCGATGCGCGCGGCAATGTTACCTGCACATCGTTGCCCGCGAACGCGATTTTGTCTCCGTCGTCCGCTTCGCACACACAATCTTTGTACACGTAACACGTGAAACTGCGTGAAACTGTCGGCGGGGGGAGGGGGGAATAGTGGGCGCACGTCTGGGGAAATTTCCGCACGAAATCGCTGCCAATCCACAAGGACTGTCACGGGCTGTCAGGCTATGACTTTTTCGCCAGTAGGTTGCCGATCTGTGCCCATATCGATTATCGCAACGACGAATTCCACCAAACTTCTCGTCGCTACGGTAGCCGTTGCGCGCAGGTTGTAATGTTTATCCTATAGTATCCTATGGTTTATCCTACGTAACGTCGGACGCGAAAAATCACGAGAATCATCGCAGAACATATAGAATCGTGTCGCTCCTCCAGTGAGGACGCACGTGAAACGGACTTGATCAATCATTTGATCGATTGTCGGAAGTAATTTAAGGATGGTTCTTACTAAGGAGTACCGCATTTGCATGCCGCTCACTACAGAAGAGGTAACCTTCGAACGCTTATTTAATTATTTATTATTTTATTCGATAATCGAAAGTATTTATTCCACTCATTTGATAACTATCGTTACCTATCGTATGTTGATGTTTTTTTTTAAAAGATGTTGAAATCTTTTCTCTAAGAATTACTTTGTAGTGATCGATCAATTTCTTTGTATAGTATCGCATCGGTCAGCTATACATGATCGCCAGACATAGTCATGAACAATCCGATAATGATGAAGGAGTAGAGGTGGTTGAAAATACTGTCTGCGAGGATCCTGTTCATGGAAAGGGTCAATATACTGAGAAAAGGATCCATCTGTCTAGGTAAATCTTGTTTTTAAATATATAACATATAGGCATAGTTCTACAATTCATGGTTAATTCTTAATCGAGATTTAACTTATTCATCGTCTCTTTTCAATTCTAAAATTGAAAATAGATGAGAAACAAATTGAATCTAAATTAGGAGTTAAGAGTTAACCTTGAGTTGTGGAACTGAACTATAGAAATACATACAGTATTGCAACAGGTATAGACGTTTTTCAGCAAAAATATAATGTAAAATATAATATAAAAAAACAAATGAATCATTTCATTCTTGTTTAATAAACAACAAGAATATGTCCTTGCTGAAAAATGTCCTATATATAGAAGTTTTATAGTGTCTTGCTTTCTTGAAACAAACATTTCACTGTCTCTTTTTTCTTTTCAGTAAACTTCCTTATTGGATTCAATCTATCTTACCACGAATATTTTATGTAACGGAAAAAGCATGGAACTATTATCCCTTTACTATAACAGGTACATTTTGTTTTGTTTGCATGATCACAACACTGAATTACAAATTTTGAATAATTTTTAAACGGTAAATCTGTTACTAGAAAAGTTCCATCTGATCAAATTTTTAAGATATTGCATGTCAATTTTTAAAATATTTTTTCTAAATAATTTGGATGTGAATGAGAAAGGCAATTCCACTAAAATTTAATGATAATTAAGAAACATCAGAAATATTGGAATGAAAACAAAATGCTAAATAATTACTACTAGATCAGACCTATCCAACACTTTGCTTGTGAACTAAAACACTTCCACTTCTTCATTGTCTCGATAGAGCGAAATGGAGCAAAAATAATAAAGAATAAATATCAAATTCCTGAATTCAAGTCTGTCCAAGTATCATAGAAATCTGGTCATCATCAGTTATTATAAAAATCACTGATGATCAGATTAAACGTCAAAACATTTGATTAAAATTTTATTGTAATGTTTGGATTGTCACAGACAAGGATAATAAACAAAATAAAAACTACTATAATTGCAAATTAAAAAATAGATTTTTTTTTGGATTTTTTCTACGACACTTGGACAGATCTGAATTCAGGCGAAATCTAGTGTCTAATCGTTTGTTATTTTCGCTCTGTCGCACACTACCGATGATGGAGAGATATAAGCGTTTCGGCTTATGAGCAAAATGTTGGACAGGCCTGTACTAAGACACTAATATAAATCCATGCAAATATATTTTTAAAAAATTGTTTCTTATATTTGAAAAACAAGATTTAATAAAAATATTTTAATGGCACGTTCTGACTCAACGTTGAAAAAATGACTCTAGAAACAGCCTTCATTTCTTACTCTCACACAAAACTTTGTAAACTAGTGTAATTGTTTTTTATCAAATTTTACAATCATTACTTTAGAAATTGGAAGTAACATGACTCTTCTAGTATTAATAAAAATAATGATTTTTCAACTCTTGGTATTTAAAAAAAAAGAAAGAAGTTAAACTTAATTTTTTTTTATTTTCTTGCATGTTTATTCCTTCCTGACGATTGCAGACTACACTGTGAGTAATGTTTAGTATGAATATTGCTATAAAATTTTATATTATTCCTAAATTTCTTTTCTTTCAGTGTTCTTTTATGCCAAAGTTCCATATAGCGATAAACACACGATATGAAGACAATAATGGCTCCACAGAAAATGTAAATAACTTATAATTACATCATACTTATAACATACATTTTGTTATTACTTTTTATTTAATAATATTAGTACTGATTACTGATGATTCTATTGTTATTAAATTATAGTGCTTAGGGCTGTCATCCATGGAATTGATCCATCGAGAAGTCGATTTTGTAGATATTGCATACGACGAGCTCTCTGCGAAACATTACAAAGAGGAAGAAGTAGGCCTATAAGCTATAATTTAATCCCTATTTAATTCTTTATTAGATTTTAATTCTAATCAAAATATCTTAATTGTAACAGGACCCAAAATATTTTCAATCGAAAAGAACAGGTCGTGGCCCCCTGGTTGAAGGTTGGAGGGACACAACACAACCTATAATGTGTTCGTATAAATTGGTTCATGCCTCGTTTGAAGTCTGGGGTATGCAAACACGAGTGGAAGATTTCATACATAGAGTAAGTTTGTCTAATTTTGACCATTCATCTGTCTTACATTTTAGTAATATTTTTTTCAGTTATATAAGTAATCATTACTATTCAGAATATATTTAATATTTAGTAATACAAAATTATATGAATTAACAACTGAAATTAGTGATTTTACTTGTATGATCCAAAAAAATGATTGTTTATATCGAATTCGATTTCTTGATATACAGATTGAATGTAATATTCAAAAAACAGTACTAAACTCTACAGTCTTCCTCACTAAAAGTACATTGTGATTACATATTGATTATTCTATTTTCTTTTTGATTTTAGTGTATAAGAGATATTCTAGTGTTGGGTCACAGACAGGCATTTGCCTGGATTGACGAGTGGTATGACATGAACCTGGAAAATGTACGACAATATGAGCAGAAAATGCAAACTGAAACAAATGAAAAGGTTAGACTCAGAAATCAACTTGATGAGGAACAGATCGGTACACCATCCTCATCTATGCCAACTACGCCAAAATCACCCACACAACGATCGTGGTTTTCCTGGTCGTAGCCACAATTAGTGCAACAATTGATTTTGAGCTCTGCAGCAGTTTTCTGTCGCTCCGGTTAACATTAAGAAAGAAATAAGTGGCTATCTCTGTTCATGCTCATCTTTTATCTGTCTTAGAGAATGCACAAATCAGTCATGACATATTCTTTCAATGAACTTTACACTAGTAAATTAGTTTGATTGGTTTTATTATAGCAACACATACAACTTACATAGTTTTTTTTAAATACAAAAAAAATAATTTTAGAAAATGTAAATAAAACTTATAAAAATTTGTTATTAATCTAATTTTAATAACCAGTATCTTTTTCGTGAAAGAAAAACTCAAGAGGAAGAAGAAGATAATGATTTTAATTTTAAATAAGAAAAGGTATCAATATTATTTTATTAAAGGAATATGTCTAATTGATTACTGCATGTATACATAGGCGTAGTTCCATACACGTTTCATATATAAGCTTGCTATGAAACGATTTTTACATATTTTCGTATCATAGAATACACCTGAAAATATCATACTCCATATGCGATTACACAGTTAAATTTTTAATTTTAGTTAATTAAAGTTTAATTTTTTAAGAATGCCTAAAGAAAGTTTGTTTAAGTCATTCCACAAAATGGCATATATAGTTAGATTTTGAAATTTAAATAAAGTTTAATCGCACATTTTAGTGCACACCTTACATATGCGAAACGTTTTATTTGCGTTTTGCTCGCGCGCGTTAGCAATAAGATAATTTTATCGTGTAAAATTCTACGGTGAATTTATTTATAATGTATGAAATATTTTATTTGCAGTTTGATGTATAGAGGCACTGAAAAAGATATAAAAATATATGTGTTTGCAAATAATTCCTTATTTAAATAAACATCTTCATTTTATGTTACAAGTACAATTATTAATTTATTTATTTAATTTATGAGTCTTAATTCTAAGAAATAAATAAAATAAAATAAAATATATAACCTGTAACCATAAAATTTGTAACCTGTTCTTGTAAGACTAATAAGAACTTACAAGCGCTTGTAATTTTATTGTAATATCTTTACAGACAGCTTCTTGCTAGCTGTAAGATTTATAAAAAATCGATGGATATTTACGAATGATTGTACGTCTTATACATACGTATAGAATTATGTCAGTCATAAGTTCTTACAAGTTTTACGAAAATAAATTACAAGTCTTATGATTCTGTTTAGAATTGATCTAGTTACTTTTAATTAGATCGATAATCGTTACTATTCACTGGCAGTACATGTAAACATAATATTTTAATTAAAGTATAATTGAAATATTTAATCAATTTACATAAACAAAATTATAACAATATAAATACAGTAATTTGCATCTAAAAATACTTTGTACATTTGTACGATTGTTATAAAATTTTTAATTAGGATTAGCAATTGTCGGATGTAACCTGCCAACAATTGGATGTTGTAATGGTGTAATAAGAACACGTGCCATCTCGCCAACGTGACCTGTCGGCAAAATTTTATTGAATCATTAATAAATGCTTCATTAGAGAGAGTAAATCAAATTACTAGTATTTTTATTTCATTAAAACCTCTGAATAATTATAATTATATTAAATAATTACA